GATCCGATGACGACACAACATGGGACCGCTTCCATATCTGCGAGAAAAAGCAAGAATCGACGGATCCGCTCCGTGCCCCTCAGTGGCGTAGGCCCTTCCCCATTCTGTGGCCTCGCCGGGTCGCCCGCTCTGTGCAAAGGCGTTGATCACGATGCTGTAGGCCTTCCGTTCGGTGTTTGAAGGCATTTCCTAGTTCCGGAAGCCAACGGAAGGGCAACCTAGCCGCCTAGCTCAACTTCCGGCCTGACGATCTGGAGCGATCGCAGTCGCCTGCCGTTGCGTCCAAGTATCCGACGTGGGGCCGAGGCCTGAACAACCGCTTTCCTCCGCCTCCAGCAGAAGCGCAGCTGCCTCGCTCTGCCCGGCCCTTGCGAAGGCCTCACCAGAAACGAAGGTTCCCTGAGCCCCGGCTCCGCTGGGGTGCTGGTGGTGCTGAGGGAGCCGAAAGCTGTGGGGTGACAGACCAGCGGCATCCAACAAAGCTCCCAGGGAGGGGAGGTCGCTGCCGGTAACCTGACTTGTCATGTACCGTGAACGGCGACTGAAGAGAGCGAAGCTCAAGCCGCCATGCGCCTGCTCCTGCGCTTTGAGCAGCAGCAAAGCCCAGTTGGCTTCCTAAGCTCTGGGTTTTGACATGCCAATCTACACTTAAAACTCCTTTTCGTAGCGTTCCGTCTTACGTTTCTTGTTGCTCGGCATCAGCATCGTAGCAACCATGCAAGAAGTTGTCGGGATTGGCCCGGAATCATCTGGCTAATAGTATTACGACGTCAACACGGTCGGCATTTTCGCAAGGACCTTGTGGTGGCTTGCGAAAAACCGTCTGATTCTTGCAGACTGCACCTGCAAGAAGGAGCGTCTGGCAGCTATTCAAAGAGCACCTAGTATAGGCCCATGAGACGCCTCCCCACGATTGGCGGTTCAAGGTACAGTCTCCATGCATCAACTCTCCTAGGCATGCTACTTCTTCAAGAGAATGCCCCATATGTCACGCAAACCTTGGAATGCCTGCACAGAAGAGGCTTCAGCCTGGCTAGTCAGAAAACGAGAGAAGCAGAAGGAACAATGAAGCCGGTAAAAACGGGATCGACAGACTGTCGCTGCAGAATGCTGCAGGCTGCAGAGGGAGAGGATCAGTCGTGTGAGGACTCTCACAACGACGAGCTGCGCTGCTGCGAGCGGCGGCGTTCAGCAGCTTGCCGAAGCTGCGAGGAGACGGACGCACCTCAGCTCAGCATGGTGCAGTCTCGACAGCAGCAGCCCTTTCGCCGCTGAGTGGTCCTATCTGGATCTACAGTTGATATGCTGTGATTTTTTATGAGTGCAGCGCCCCGTCTTCGCGCATGCGAGCGAAAACGACCAGAGCTTTCCGGAAGGCTCCAGCATTGGCACAAGCCTGGCAAGTCAACTGATCGGTAGATAATGCCGTCCCAGGAACCACTGCGTGACTGTGCCACATTCAAAGATGAAAGCGAGATGCAGAAGCAACCTATCCAGCAGCTAAGACAGCTAGGAGTCGAGTCAGTTGCAAAACTGCCCTCACTGCCCTTCACGTAACCACAATGCAGAAACGACAAGCCACGATAGAGGCAAAGCCACACGGCAACATCTGCACACGCTGCAACCAAGAATGTGCAAACCACAAAGCACAGAGACAGGATCGCGGCAAACGCAAACACAAAAAAGATGCAAACAGCAAAGAATGCGCCCGAACAAACAGGACAAGCGCAGTTCCGCGCAACAGAATCTGAAAGCAGAAATCTTACAAAGTCACAGGACGAACAGGATACAGGCGATCCTGCGCCGCCCCACAAACAGAACAGAAATGCACGCCTATGTGCCCACAAGGCAGAAACAACTGGCACCGCTGCGGCGAAAAAATCCGTGAAACATTGGGGCTGGGACTCGTGGCGTCTCTGCACAGCTTAGGTCGAAACAAGGGATGTTCGGTCTCACGTCAGAAACAGAATCTGACTCTGTGGCCTTGAGGTTGGTATGGTACAGCTTGCGGATCGTCTCCTAGGTCAGGTCGCCATGTCGACTTCTGGCAGCAGCCCTCTCTTCGCTTCGAAGGGCATAGCAGCCCAGCAAGGGCTCTAAACCCGAATATCAGTCCTTCGGCAGCGCGGCACGAAGGGCACCGAAGCAGCGCTCGGCAGCGAGGACGTCGCCTTCCTGGAGAGAAGTCTCTAGCCTCTGTCCCTTCCTGGCCCTCCGACGTCAAGTGAAATTCGACCGGAGAAAACGGAGCAGAACTCGCTGGGTGCCTCGGCCAGCTGGTTCATCCGATCGAAGAGGGCCTGTGGGGAGCTGGAGCCCAGCCTCGAGCGCACCCAAGTCACGGAGCCTTGCGCGCCAAAACGGCGCTGCGACTCGCCCGCCTTGCTTGCACCGACCTTGATGCCCCAGGCCATGCTCGCCGCATTCCGCCGGCGTCCCTGCCACGCCATCACGACCAGGTGTCTCAGAAAGGGAGGAGACTGCATGCTATGAATGCTTCTCAGTCTGATCATGCATCAGATGGTTTGACAGAACTGTAGTGGGAGTGATACAGGTACAGTAACGAGCTTGGCTGCGTGTCACTGCCCGCCAGTCATCAGGTGCTTGAACTGGTGCTAGATGGGGACAAAGCTGGCGATTGGTGCTGCGTGCGATGATGCAGTGCTTAGCGGCTTAGCAGGCAACACCAGAAATGCACCTTCTTTTGCAGAAGCGGGAGATCCTCGAGCTTCTTCAGCACATGAAGGGCAGGCAGCCAGCGCCATTCGCATTCGCATGCCCATACCTCATGACGCAATCAACGATCACGAGAAGCAACCCTGGGGGCTCGGGCAATAAGTAACCCTAACCTTCAGCCACTTGCGCCAGGCTGCTGCAGCACGAAAGCTGAGGACATCAGCTTGCAGGCTCCTAGGCCCCATGTCGGCGAGAAGCGCAAGAGACCTTTCCCACTGCCAAGCCGCGGCGCACGCATGGATCGCACCGTTGAAGCTGATGGCATTGGCGCTGGGTGCCCGCCTGACATTTAAGCTGCTGAGCAAAGCCATGGCCACGGTCCAGGCACCCCGTTTGCCACAGGCGCTGATAGCTGAGCTGCAAGTAACGACATCGGGGACAAAGAGATCGCCCTGCATGGTCTCCAAGAGGTGTAACGCCCACTCCCAAAGGCCTACCCCCTCGCAGGCACTGATCGCACTGTTCCACGTAATGACATTGGGCCTCACCTCGTCCTTCGGCAGGGACATCAGTAGACTGAGGGCTGCAAGCCACTGGCTGGCCTTCTCACAAGCACTGACTGCGCTGCTGCAGGCAATCACATCGGGAAGCAGCTCAGCTGAGCGAATCCCACCTAGCAAACTCAGGGCTTGTACCCAAGCAGTGGACTTCTCGCAAGCACTGATGACACCGCTGAAGCTGATGACATCTGGCACGACGTATCGGAACTTGGTCATCTGCAGAAGACTGAGGGCTGCCATCCAATTCCGGACTTTCTCACAAGAACTGATGGCACCATTGAAGCTGATAACGTCGGCCTGAAGCCTCCTTCCCTCGAAAGACAGGAGCAGCATCAGCGCTGCTAGCCATTCTCCAGCCTTCTCGCAGGAGCTGATGGCGCTGTTGCAGCTGATCACGTTTGGTGGCACATCGGCCCTTTCCATCACCTCAAGAAGTTCTGCGGCAATTTGCCATTGGCCTGCCTTTTCTGCAAATTTGATGGCACTGCCATAAATGATCACGTCTGAACTCTGGGTGTCCATGCCCATCTGCTGCAGGAGAGACACTACCATGAGCCAGTCACCGCTGTGTGCACAAGCATTGATAACCCCACTGTAGGTGATGACATCCGGCTGCATGTGGGAAAGCCTCATTCCATCAAACAACACCAGGGACTGTCTCCACTGGGCAACTCCATCGCACGAAGAGATGCAAGTGTTGAAACTGATTGTGTCCGCGAGAATCTGCGTCTGGGACATAAGCAGTAACAAGTTACACGCAGCCGTCCACTGCCGGGCCCTGGCACATGCGCTGATCGCCGTATTGCAGATGACCACATTTGGGGAAGTCGAGACGTCAGCCAGAAGCTGAAGCTGCTCCAAGGCCAGGCTCCATGCGCTTCGCTTCGCGTGGGCTCGCAGGGCCTTGCCGTAGGCCCTCACATCACCTCCGCAGCTGCCGCATGCTTCCAGGAACCCCAACGCTTCGGTGATTCTGCAGTGCGAGGAGTCTCAAGTTCGCAAGACTGCACGAAGAGTTGCTTGCATCGTGCACAGCAAGAGCGAGGGCTCAGGGAATCATGCGCCGATGAGAGCTCATTGGCTGCAGGCACCGTGTCACAACTGCCAGCGCTCTCTCGAACAAGCGACGTTTCAGGTCAATGTCAAGGACGTCTCGTTTGGACAGCACGGTCAGACCTTCCACCTCATCTAGGGGTGAGCTCAGATAAAGTGACATAAGCACTCTTGCAATGCCTTCTACGAAGCCTTCTCACCTGCTCTTAGATGAACTCTCGGGTGACTGGGCTGTGCGCAAGCTCCGCCAGGGGAGGGCGCCAGCCTGGATCAGAGGCTGGGCAGCTCTGTCTGTCTCACCTAACTGCTCACGGGCATCAAGCTTCCACGGAGCTGCCTGGCTTCCTCCAGCCGGCCAGCAGCCTGGAAAATGTGGCGGGAATGCGATGCCAATGAGGATGAAATGCACAAGGACCAGACCCGAAAGCCTATGTCAGGTCGGCTTATCTCCCAAATGGTCCCAATCACACCTTACCGTACGAGTCCCGGCTGATGGAAGGGAAGTCGAGCAACGCCTTTGCCATCTTTTTTGTGAATGGTACTGGCGCACCGGCAAGCGTTTGGGTCTCTCACGGTTGCGTGAGGACACTTGGTGCGCTCCACAGGACTCCAAGCTAACCCTGGCTAGGCAAGAATCAAGCGCGATCAGGGCAAATAATAAGTCAGAGGCACGACTGTACGTCGAAACCTCCCTACAATCCTGCCTCGGACTCAGAGTGAGTGCGTGGAGGTCAGATTGCGCACAATTGGGGCCTTCGTCAGTTGTCGGAGAGACTCCACGCCGGTTTTCTCCGACTTTTTCCTTGGTGCCATACACAGCAGGTCAAGCCGGCACTGCGCTTACCTGAGAAAGATCGAGCCAGCACCATTACCTCGTTCCACTTCGACACCGAAACGAACGATTCCTTTGACTCTGGTTGGGCGCGGCCTTAAGCCTCCTGAATCCAGCCAAGCCTGCAAGAGTCGACAGAACTATAGGCTCAGTCCTTCATGCGCCACGACCTCCTCTGGATCGTTTGCGGTCAGAAACAATGTGCACCAGCAAGAAGGGCCCCCCCATTGACCACGCAGCCAGACCTTTTGTACTCATCTTCTTGATAGGGAAGGTGATTTGTACGCCACGATTACACCAGGGTCTTTTGATTCGGCAGCAGGGAATCAAGCATTCACCACGATTGATCAATCGAGTCCGGGGGTCTATCTGTTTCGACAGCAGCATGAAACAAAACCCAAGAGACAAAATACAAAAACGTTCAAACCTTCATATACCAGGTTAGCTTCGGGGTCTTGGGTCTTCCAAGACCTAGAAACGATGCAGCACGCAAGGGGTCAGGCCTTCATGCGCAACGACTTCCTCCGGATCGTTTTCAGCAGCCGGAAACGAACCATCAACAATGCGGCAGCAGACACCCGAAGCCAATCGTTGTGTCTTGCGTTTGTTCCTGCACGAAACACGCGGAGGCAATCGTGCCTCCAAGCCCCGATCACCGGTGGCCGAGTTTTTCACATCACGAATCAAGAACATCTTCTCCACCGTCTGGCACATGCAGTGCTGCGTTGAGATTGCAGACCACGGAGCCCCGAATTCTGGCTTGATGTTGTTTTGTCACATACTGGTGGGATCGTGACGGGAATCTCCGAAATTCATCCCACCGTCGAGAAGAAGCTGCTGCAATCTGACACCCCCCTGCCCCAATTCAATCGTAAGCATCTCTAAAACCCCCCCTGCCTTCAAAGTCCGATGCACATGCGGCGAGGAAAAAGGTCAAAAGAAAAGCAACAACGGGTGTCTTGAAAAAACAACCACAGCTTGGTCAATCAAACAAAGGCAACAGCGGGTGTCTTGAAAAAACAACAAGGTCAATCAAAGAAAGGCAACGGCAGGTGTCTTGAAAAAACAAAAGCTTGGTCAATCAACGAAAAGCAACAGCGGGTGTCGTGAAAACCAGAAAGTTGGTCAATCAAAAAGGCAAATCAACACACCCAGTTCAGGCAGAGAACCAAAACATTTGGAGAACCGCGAGAATTGTGATGATCCATTGCTGGCTCGGAATCGCGAGAAGCATCGAATAGTCGAGAAAAACAGTCGAACGTGTGAAGCTGCATGCTTGGGATTCATGGTGGATGCGCCGGGAGGGTGACAAGGCAAGAGGTTAGAGGCTGCACCTGAGCTATCCTGAAGCCGCACCAACTTCAGCCAGCGTCTGCGTCAAGGCCGGGTGCCCGCCGCGGACAATGCGATTGTCTGGGCAAAGGGTGCAAGTCGGATGCCAAAGCCCACACGGCTGCTTGCTGGCACTTACACAGGCCCGGTCCCAGCCTTGACATCTTCCGCAGGGCTCTTCATGCACGTGGGTGAAAGCCATGCTTGGCTTCACCTCAGAGCTGCAGCCGTGGACCTGCAAAGCCGCGGCTGAGCAGCTGGCCTTGCCATCTGCGCTACCACGGTCATAGTGGGCCGTGTACTCGTAGAACAGAGGCGTGCCCATGATCCAAACCTGGCGGAGTGGCGAAGCAAGCAGTGCAGATGGCTGCGTTTCGCGTCACCTCTCCATTCAGCTTGGTCGTGAAAGGCGCCGGCTGAAAAGCAGGCATGCAGACCTCACAGACCAAAACGATGGTACATGTAATACCTGTATTTTGTTCCATGTACGCATGAATAATTGACAGAACATGCCATGATGACTCGGCCCTGAATTCTATTATGTAAGCTTCCGTATCGGTGAGAGCTTCGCGGGCCCGCCTTTCCACGCTTCTTGCGCTCAATCTGGAAGGTCAACCTCTCTCTCGTGAACTTTGGAGCGCTAGATGTGGAAAGTGTCATCGATAGGCGGAGACAGGAAACCACCTGTGCCGTGCAACAACAGTGCGGGCGAGACACCCACCCAGAGTTTTCATTTCCGGAACGTTGATGTCAGCCGTGGCAGTCCTGTCGCATTGCGTCGCTGACAGGCCCCTATCCCTGTGGCACTCTGCTGGCAAGCGGCATGATGTAGTTCTTCGGGCGAAGCGAGAGCTCCGTCTGCACACCGTTCAGCCCGGCGACGTGGAAGTTCAGCTGCATCGGGGAAGGATTCCAAGCGGAACGAAACAGGTCAAACCAATAACGAGCATCTTGGAGCATGCCCTTGATTCCAGAAGCACTGCATTAATGTTGATGCGGTATCTGAGCCAACAACACCAACAGTATCAGACCATGTTGACGGACCTGCTAACCCCTTAAAATTCCAGTACGGCCTGGCCCTCCCAACCGCACCGTCCGATGCCTTGCCTTCGGGAGCTCCTGGTCCATGTCCACCCCCTGACAGGATAAGAAGCACTGGCTCCACCAAAAACACCCTGTGTACTGTACTCCCCCCACGCTACCTCGGCCCAGTCAGCACAGTGCTCCAGCAGCAGCAAAAAGACATTGGCCTGGAGAGCTTCTCAATGCATCCAAGGTTTGTTTTGGCGACTCCGACGGCAGAGAGAAGATGAAGAAGCTTGATGCTCCGGCGAAAGCGATACGACGAAGCAGCGTCGGCATTCCCGGGCGAAGCCTTCATGTAGTCCTTCTGAGTCTGAGGCTTTGCCTCCGCACCTGCACCGCTGAGACCCCTTCGGGCTTCAGTTTGGGACCGATGTCGAAGTACGAGCAGCTGGGACGCGAGGCAAAGTAGGGAACACAAGATTCCAGCCTTTCCGTATGCAACCTAATCCGTTGAAATTCATCGGGCAATGCAGGCGCAGTCTGCACTAGATTGCCTGCTGCCCCACCGAGAATGTCCGCGATGTCGGCCGCGTCACCCGAGCTCGTGTTGGAGGCGGCTGCGTCAGCCTTTCCTGGCATGGCTGCAAAACAGTTTAATCTGCAGAATCTGCATGGTTCTCACCACTTCTCGCCAGCAAAGCTTTCGCAAAGGATCTGCACAAGCTGGCAGAGAACATGTGGAGGCCGTGGAGCTGACATGCCACAGCTTGATCTACGAGTGGATCCGCAGGGCCTGCTTGCAAGATGTCTTGCAGCTTCTTGAAGGCATCGGCCAACTCCTGAACATGTCGGGTCTGCCAATGATGCTGCGCGAACCTGCGAACCTGGTCTCTCGCCTAGCCTAGCAGGGCAGAAGACGACAGCTTTTGCCATACAGCGTGGCTTCATGTCCGTGTGCACATCGTCGCACCCCAAGCACCAAGGCCAAGGCTGACACTCCTCGAAACTGGACCCACCCGAAATGGCACCCTGACTTTCCGTGTCGCGTCCTCCGGAACGGTCGCATGCTGTGTCAAGGACAATCCTTGCCCAAGGCAGGTCCAAGATCAAGCAGCACCCTCAAGGGAGACTATATACATGTGACTTTACACGGCGGGCCTACCCGTTGCAGTGATTTTATAAAGTCGCGGAGATTTCAGTTCGGCTATGGCTTCCTGCCGCTTCCCACACAAGGGACCCCCTGGACAGACCTTGAGTGCTGCAGTGTCGGAGGTCAATGCAACATGAGAGGCAAGGTCCTCCAACTTGCATGCCTTGATCTTGCAAGTCCTTCATCTCCTGCGGCCAGGTCCATCCGAACGGAAAACGCCTCATGCAATCCTCAGAAAATACGACCTCGGCTCGGACACATGGTAGCTCCTTGCTGACTTCTTCGAAAGCTTTTTGGCAGCGCTCCCAATTCGAGCAGATGTCCTGCAGGGTCTGTAGCTGTCGCATCCCAAAGCTAAGCCTTTCAACCTTTGGGACAAACAGCATATGTATGCTTCTATGTGTGTATGCATACGTACATACATACATACATACATACTTACTTACTTACTTACTTGCTTACTTACTTGCTTGCTTAGGCGTAGATACTCACTCACTCACTGACTCAATCACTCGCTCACTCACTTACTCTCGCCACAAGGGAAAGGTCTCGCGATGCATGGCAGCTGCTGCTGGCGTCTCCACGGACGCATGCCGATTGCGCACCCAGGGGCCTCAAAAGCCAAAAGCCTGAAGGCTCAGAGAAAATAAGCAAGAAGAACACGAATTCGAATGTATGGCATGAAGCTCTGCGGAGTTCACCTCTTGGGCCCGGTGCGTTGTCTTCCGAGGCATGCCACATGCAACCGTTTAAATGTAGGGCTGTGCGGTAGTGTCCCTGCAGCTTGCTCTCGCCAAGGTGATAAATTATTGCACAGATCTCAGACCGGCGTGATGCCGTGTGTAGGCCCGGGCCTGTGCAGTGCGATACATGCACAGCAGTGCTGGGCCTCACTAGGGTGCGGGAGTTTATGACCTTGGGCGTGAAAAAGATTGATCTGCACCGGGACAAAGTCTGGCAGGCGTCTACAGCATGACGGGAACTTTGATTAAGCCACTGAATGATCAAACACTGTAGTGTGGTAACAGTCTTGGAGTCTCCCTAACAGTGCGGGCAGCGTCAGGGGCCACAGCTTTCCCTGATCCTCCACCTGGGCGACCTCCAAATGATGCCTGATACATACATACATGCATACATACATATCATACCATTGCGCACATTACACTACAGTTACATTACAGTACATTAATGCATTGCATTGCATTACAGTACACTACACTACATTACATCACATTACATTGCATTGCATTACACTACATTACACTATACTACATTACATCTATCAATTCATCTTCTACTCATCAACAGTCGTGCAGGCATTCACGCGTCTGTTTGGGTCCATGTACAACTCGGCCAGCTGGTTCTCGGGCCCGGTGATCATCGTGGTCCCGCTGTCTGGAATGAGGCCGCAGATGGTCCTTGGAACCGCAGATGCGAGGAGACCTCGGCCTGGACCTCTCTTTTTGGAGCCTTATATATTATCTATTCTATATGAAAAATTATATATTCTGCCTTAACTTCGCCTCAGCACCGGGCTCCTGATCTGCTCGCTTCTCTTTGGGGTCGCAGATCTTGACCTCCCGATCAACGCGCTGTTGAGTATCACTGTCACTGCATGTAGCACAATCGTGTTCTACATGGGACACTGCTGTTCCATTCCTCCAGTACTAGGCTAATCTAGGCTCCGGGCCCTGTGCTTTGCGTTGCCCTCACCGATGGAGATGCCATGAAAGTCCACTCCCCAGTGGATCTGACCTGATCCAGTCAGCGAGCAACACAGCGAAGAGTAAGTCTCGCGGTTGTCTGCGGCACACAGCTCGCAGCTCACATCTCCAGGGCTCTCGGTCTCTAGGCCTGTGGAAACCTCACCATAGTTGCAGAAAGCCGGAGGTTTTCGAGATTCACTGCTGGGAAGTTCTGGAATATACGCTTTTGAAGACACCGCTCACCAACTCTGCTCAGTCTGCAGATGACCAAAGGTTGATGCAGGAAATCCGCTCCGTCATCTGCGACTAGCACACATTACATCTGCCTGCACCTTACACGACTGCGCGGTTCGCTGTTGCCGTGAAAAACCTGCCCAAGCCTGATTGGCACGCCATCCAGGCGGCTTTGCTTATAGAGCTGGGATTGACACATTTTGGTGGACTTGTAACAGCTGGCTCTGAGCTTTTAACGGAGATCGAGCCACGCAACCGCCACTAAAAGAGTCCTTGGGCGGGATCTGTGTTTCCAGTTGAGCACTCGTACGCCGGATCTGGTTTTGGAGTTTGGCCCAAGAAGCAAGGCACGCTCTCGGGGGAAAAGAAACCTTCTTGCGTCAAATTTGAACCTAGATCTGGCTCGAGATCTCTTCTATCTTGGATCAAACTTGAAACCCAGATCCGCCCATAACCGCTTCTTGGGCCAAACCTGAAACTCAGATCCCGCCAAGAGCACTTCTTGAAACCCCCAGATCCGGCACACAAGATTGCTTCTTGGGTCAAACTTGAAACTCAGATCCGGCCCGAGAGCGCTTCTTGGGTCAAGCCTAAACCCTCGTCCGGCCCAAGAGTGTTTCTTGGACCCAAACTTGAAACCTGGGTTTCAGGTTTGGCCCAAGAAACACTCTTGGGCCGGATGAGGGTTTCAAGTTTGGCCCCAGAAGGTCTGCTGGGTCGGATTTGGTCATCAAGTGTGGCCTCTCAAGGACATGTATGAAAGCCTTGTAGAACCCTATAACATCGTATAAAGAGGTTAATCCCTAACAACCCTCATGAACCGCTCGTGAGACCTTATAAGAGTCCTGTAAATCCTCTGTGAAACCCTTGGAGAACCAAATACCGTCAACATGAGGCCCAAGAAGGATCCTTCTGAAACCTTGTGACAGCCTTGAATAATGGGCACGTGGGCTGTCATGGGGACTCACCAGGCTTTTTGCTACTCTTCTAGGCCTTCCCTGTCAGGAACTTCCCCCTTTGTCTGTTGGGGTTCTAAGCACGCGGGTTTCAGTCGGCCTTTAGGGCTTCAAAATAAGGGTGTCAAAAAGCGTCCAACATTCGAAGTGTATATGCTCTTTTAACTTCCCCTTTCAGGTTCGAACATCCCACTTTTGGGTTGTAGCCTGCAACACCACCAGTCCTGTCCCCTGCACTCCGGCCGGCACACGTTAAATTTCGCTTTAGACGCCTGATTGCTGTGTACATTTATGCACATTGAAACAGTAAACATGAAAGCTCAGTTTGATGGCTATGACCTGCATTGTTGAGCGAGGCGACAAATTGATGCATGCTTCGTCGCACAGATTGGCAATTTTGTGTAGAATCCTGTTTGCGTTTGCGTAGACACAATCCGCAGACAAGCGACAAAGAAGGAACAAGGAAACAGTGCTATGTGACTGCTGCTTTTGAGTTGCGGACCCACGGACTCCAGTCGCTTGGAAGGCTCTGCAGTGTGCAGGCCCAGAACGCCATCCGCCTCACCATTCAGCTCCGCAATGTGTGTGAGCTGCAACCCGTTTTTGAAATGATGTCGGTCGCCCAACAGCTGCAGTGCATGCTCTGAGTTAAGACAGGTGGTCGTGAGGCGATGCTCTGTCTGAAGAAATGCTGTGGTCGACATGACAGCACTGCCTCCCGGTTGAAGCACATGGAGAAGCGTCGGATGCCTGCCTTCTCAGCATAACCTCGCAGGGTACGGACACCGAAGGAATCCAAATCATGTCACGCTTCCCGGCCTGGGACCCGGATATCAAGCTCCCCCGCAGAACGGTTGACCTGGGCCTTGCCGCTCATTTTCACCTCCAACAATGCTCGCAGTCAAGCATGGAATCAGGGCATGTCATACGCAGGAAAAGGCCATGTCGAGCGAGTGTGATTTGTTTGCTGAAGAGGTGCAGCTTCGTTTGAGCAGCCCTCGACTCCAATCAATCTGTCTCAAATGTCCCAACCGGGCCCGAACTCGCAAGCAGTCACCATCAGTCACCCTAAAAGGAAGCATGATGGACAAGCAACTGCCTTGCTGAATTTTATCTGGCGGCCCCACCTCCGGCCGGCCCAAGCCGAGAATGCCTTCGAAGGGTCCTTTATGGTTACACACAAAGACGGCAAGCAATGAAAGGTCCATTCAAAAACGGCCCACGGACCATGGAACAGGTGCATGCCAGGGGTCCATGAAGGCGTAGGGCCTGGTCAACCTTTCATGCAGTGACAGGGCATCAGTCCGGCCGCATGGCTGAAGCTTTGATTGATCAGGGCACCATCAGCAGCAAACCATTCTTCATGAAGGCATGCGTGTGGCCAATTCGAACCTTCGGGCGAGGGAACGGTCTAGTCTCATAAGTCTGCTAGGCTGACGGAACTAGCACGAAGAGGGCGCACCTAGCAAACTATTTTCCAGACGTTACAGTACGGACAAACTGATCACATCGTCTGACTTTGGGAAGGCTGGCTGGCAAACCCTGAGTTTCATAAACCCACTTTGAAGTGCTGGCAAACAGATGTTGGTTGGCAAACCTCACGCCCTGAAAAGAAATGCTGGTTGGCAAACCCTAAACTTTAAACCCTCGAAGGGATCCTAAACCCGACAGGCAAGCTTGGATGGCAAACCCTTTAAACTTGATAAACCTTAGAAGAAACTGTTGGTCGGCAATCGTACAACGGAGGAGAAAATGAGGGTGCATGTTGGTTAGCAAACCCCAAAGCCAAAAAGGACCCCAGAAGGGGAAGCCAAGTTCCGATGTTGGTCCGCAGGTATCAAACCCTAAGAAATAGATGTTGGTTAGCCAAAATTCTGAGATGTTGGCTAAGAGGATAAGCGGAAACCCTAAGTTTGAACCTCAAGATCCCTAAAAGGATAAGCCCTAAACTCTAAACGACATGTTGGCTGACAAGCCTTAAATGGCGATCCCAAACCATGGCCCTAGCGGAGATGTTTAAGGCCCAAAGGAGACCCTAAACTCCAAAAGGAGATGTTGGTTGGGAAAGGAGACCCTGAACCTCAAAAAATGTTTGGCTGACAAAGCCTGAGGCCCTAAACTCCAAAAGGCAGAAATTGGTTGGGCGGCCGGCCCGCGAGATGGCACGCCGATGGACCACACCCGACAGAATACTCTTGTGCTTCTACTACACTTCCCTTGCTCCTCTCCCCACTCCCACTCCCCTCCCTGCTCCTCCTCTTCCTCCCTCCGGCTCCGACTCCAACCACTCCTCCTGAGTCCTCCTGCTGCTCCTCCTCCTCCTCCTCCTACTCCTACTACTACTACTACTACTACTACTACTAGGGCTGCGCGCCTCCTGGCGCCTGGTAGTTTTATGTGGTTCGAGGGTCCAAAATGCAGGTTTTAGCGCAATTGTTCAAAAATGGAGTTAAGCGAAAGGGGGGGCAACTAATTGAGAGGACTACGAAGTACACTGAACATGATTATTTTGATGATGATGATGATGATGGTGAGAT